CGCTCCACCAGTAGCTGCTCCTGCAGGCCAATGCGCTTGGTCAGGCCACGGTAGCGGCGTGACAGCCAGGCCATGAGCAGGCCAAAGAACAGCCCGCCAATCACAGAGCCAACCGCAACGCCGGCAACGTTGGGCTCGTTGCGCACACACCGCTCACCGTCCATGTGATGACCCTGCGCGCACGCGCACTCGAACGAGTACACAAGCTCGTTGGTGAGCTCCAAGGACATGACAACGGTCAGCGCTCGGTGGAAGATGAGTAGGGTGCATTCCACAGGCGCATCAGTAAGCTGGAACACGGGCGGCGTTGGCCGAAACTCAATGTGGTCCGAGTGGGGCGTACTGACACGCTGGTTTGACAACGCCACCACCTCGCCAACTGCCGCGGTGAGGCGACCTGGGCGGTCCAACCACGTGTTATGTGAAATATCCAGCATGTCAACAGTGCGCAAGCATGTTGCTGTGACGGCACTAAGCTGGTCAGTGCTGAATGTCTCCTCCGGCATGTTGCGTGCAAAGAGGATGCGGCGGCCCCATCGCGTGCACAAGGCAACGCTTGCCTGCACGCGCGTCTCGCTGATGTCAAGAACGTCGATGAAAGGGGCGTCAATCGCCGTGAGCCGGGTGCAGCCAGACACATTGAGCTGCGCGAGTGCGGTGGGCGCAATCACAGTCTCCAGTTGCCGGTTGTCTTGCAGCAGAACTGTACCAAACCGCTTGCCTTCGCAGAGTGGCAGCAGCTCGTATCCTGTGCGGTGCAACTGCAGCTCTCGCACGTCGGCTGCAAGCATTGAGCACAGTACGGCCTTTGGCAGCGTCACGGCCGCCGCCCCCTCCCAGCCGGCATGCAGCACCTGCAGCTTGAACTCTGGAAAGCGGCCCAGCAGCGAAAAAGCGCTGCTTGCGTCCACGTTCAACAGGCTGAGGGTGTGGCGGGGAACGGCTTGCGAGTGCAAGAGCGTGTCAGCGTCGATGACAGCCGTCGAGCGCACGTGTGCAGCGGCGTCAAGCTGGACGATCGAAAGCGTGCGGGTGACGATGGGTGTCAAGTCCAACCTCGTTATGAGGTGGTTCTGTAACCTCAACTCCCGCAAGCTTGGCAACTTGGACACATCGGGCAGCACCTGAATGGGGTTGTGTCGAAGGTTGAGGACCTGAAGGCTGTGCGCCTCTGTGGCAAACGTGACGCGGGTGAGCTGGTTTCCTTCCAAGTCAAGGTCACGCAAGATTGCACGGTTGTGGTCAAGCGCATCTGCCAGTGACTCCAGCCTGTTGTTGGTGAGGAACAGCAGACCCAGCAGGCTCGTGTTTCGGAAGAGGCCGGCAGGCAACGTGGTGAGCTGGTTGCGATTGCAGGAGAAGATGCCCAAATGTGGGCAGGAGTCGAGCAGGCCCTGGGGCAGGGCTGTGAGGGCGTTGTTGCTGAGGTCAATCGATTGCAGTGCTGTCAAGTCTCGAAGGAGGCCTGGGCCAATCAAAGTGAGTGCGTTTGATGAGAGCCTGAGGGTGAGCAGCGCAAAGAGACGCGCAAAGACGGCATCTGGCATGCTGGTGAGGGCGTTGTTGTCCAGGCGCAAGTCTGTGAGCTGGGTGTTGGCGCTGAACAAAGAGGAGGACAGTTGCGTCAACAGAAGGTTGTTGAGGAAGAGGGCTTGCACAGCCGTAAGCGCCTGAAACGTGCTTGCGTGCAAGTCCCTGATTGGGTTGTCGGACATGAAGAGGCGGGCAAGCTGTCCCAGGTTCCGGAAGATGTGTGGGGGAAGCGTCGTGATGTCGTTGTGGTTGAGCGCGAGGAACTCCAGCCGTGTGAGGACATCGAATGCAGTGGCGGCGAGGTGTGTGATGAGATTGTTTTGGAGGTTCAGCACGAGAAGGGACGACAGGCCGGCGAACATGCCTTCATCGATGCGTCCAAGCCGGTTATACGTCAAGTCGAGGGTTTCAAGCGACGTCAGGACAGCCAAGGATCGGTCCGGGAACGAGGTCAACGAATTATTGGAGATGTCAAGGTGCACAAGCTGCCCAGCAGAGGCGAAGTTGTGGACAGCGACGTGGCGCAAGACTTCGCTGTTGCGCACGGCAAGCCGTAGAAGGCCGGAAAAGGGGTTGAGGATCGTCATGTCGAAGGATGTCACTTGAACACCCTGGATAATGACGAGCTGGCACAGGCGCCAGTTGCCGTTTGCTGCCAAGAAACGCAAGGGGGCTTCGCGGACAACCCCACGCAGGTCCAAGCCAACAAGCCTGGCCGACATGGCCCGCAGGTTTGCAACGTCGGTGGCGTTGTCCACATGCTCATCGCCGCGGAACACAATGGTGAGGCTGTTGTTGTTCAATGGGCCTGGGCATGTCCCGTCCACAACAGCAGCAAAGTAGCACCGACCAACTACACTGTCGTCGGCTTCACGCCGCTGTCGAAACCTCTGCGTAGCTGGTACAGTTGCACCTTGAAGGGTGGGGCTGCTGATGCGGCTGTTCACCTGTTCTGGGGTCGGTCCTGTTGAGACAAGCTCGCTTGGGTTCTGTGGTGGGCAGCCGAACGCGCGCATCATGCGTTGGATGGACGTCAACTGGACAACGGGCCGCCTTGAATGGTTGTGGGCGGCACCGGCGTAGCTGTCCCTCATGTGTGGTGGTCGGTAGCGGCTACTGTTGTCGAAACTTGGAGGAGCAGTGGCGATCGTCGTGAATGGCACACGGAAGTCATCCAGCGTGCGCACCAGGAGATCAACAGTGGCATCCACATCCGTGCACAGCGCAGCATGGGTTGCCTGTTGCGAGATGAGCCATGCATGCAAGAAAAGGTGGTGAGCAAGTTCAAGAGTTCAAGGGGCTACAAGGAGAACACAGGGTTCAAGGAAGACTGCAAGCAAGGAGAGAAGGCAAGGAAGGCAAGGTGGCAAAACGGCTTTCTGGTTGTAGGGGCTCTTGTGCTGTGTTTTTGGCGTTTTGGTGCGTTGTGGCACAGTGTCGCAGATACTTCGTCTCACATCGTTGACAGGCAGTGCTTGCTGTGGCAAAGACGGTGGGGTTGTGGCTGCCACAGTGATGCCGTGGAAACCACCAGCATACAGCAGCGCCAGCGCTAGCAACAGCGACAACTGCTGGTGGTGGTTGTGGTTGTTGTGAGGGTGTGACATGTGGGCAGGGCAAGGGAGGAGTAGGCTGAGTAGGAGAGCAGACATGCGTTGCGATCGCTGGTTGGCTGTTCACCGACGAACGCTGGGAGAAAGCTGTTGAAAAGTGAAGGAAGTCTTGCACAAAAGTTCGCCGCCAACAAGAGCAAGAACGCACTCAACAGCGCATCCATCTCCTGCCCTCTTCACTCGCGCCATGTATCCCCTCCACACGAGCACGATCGCACGCCTCGCCCTCGCCCTTGCCGTCGCCGTCGCCCTCGCCATCACGCCCTCTTTGGGAGAGGTGGTGCTTGTGGAGGACGATGTGGGCGCGCTGCATGTGAACACGAGCGATCCTGCGCGGCAGCCGGTGTTGTTGAACGGCGTGGATGTGGCACAGTTGCGTGCGCGGTTGGAGGAGCACGGCGCCGAGATTGCCGCACAGGAGCGCACGCTGCAGTCGCTGTGCCGGTGGTTCCCTTCGACGGTGGACGTGACCACCATCACTGGCACAGGTGCAGGGGAGCTCAAGTGGGTGGGTGGTGTGCTGGCCGGCAACGGCCTGATCTACGGCATCCCGTTTGACGCGCCCGCCGTGCTCATCATTGACCCCTTGACCAGCACCGCCGACGCGACGTCGCTCGTGGCCGTCACCGAATCCGCGCACGGTGGGCGCTGGGCTGGCGGCGTCCTGGGGCCCAACGGCCTCGTGTATGGGATGCCGCACGATGCAGACTCCGTGCTTGTCATCGATCCGTCAACCCACGATATTGACACGACGTCGATTGTGGTGGAGATGAAGACAGGCGCGTCTTCCACAAACACCTCCAAGTTTCTGCACGCTGTGCTGGCGCCCAACGACCTCATCTATGGCATCCCTCGATCCGCTTCCGCCGTTCTCATCCTCGACCCAGCGACCAACGCGACAGACACGACGAGCATTGCCGGGCTCGGGGATATGGAGTTCAAGTTCTCTGGCGGTGTGTTGTCTCCCACAAACGGCAGGATCTACTGCATCCCGCGTGGCGCGCGGGGCGCCGCACGTGCTCATCATCGACACGGCAACCAACACGATCGACACAACGGCGATTGCCGGCTTCTCAGCGGGCGTGCCCAAGTGGCGCGGGGGTGTCCTGGCCAACAACGGCAGGATTTACGGCATTCCCAGCGGCGACAGGTCCGTGCTCATCATCGACCCTGCCACGGACACGGCCGACACCACCACCATTTCCAATGTCCCGTCCAACCTCTATTCCTGGATTGATGGCGTGCTTGCAAGCAACGGCAAAATCTACTCGTTCCCGCAGCGCGGCGCCGCTGTTCTCGTCATTGACCCAGCCACCAACACGGCGGACACGACGACCCTCTCCGTCACCAACGATGGCACAAGTGGGAACGAAGGCGGTGGGCGTGGCGGCCAGTACAAGTGGTGGGGAGGCGTGCGTGCAGGCAACGACAAGCTCTATTCCATTCCTCTCGGCGCTGAAAACATCGCCATCGTCAGCCCGGGGTGCTGAGCAGGACCATGCTTTGTTGTTTGTTGTGTTGTGTTGTGTTGTGTTGTGTTGTGTTACGTGTGTGTGTGTGTGCGTGTGTGTGTGTGTGCGCGCGCGCGTGTGTGTGTGTGTGTGTGTGTGTGTGTGTGTGTGTGTGAACAAGACAAAGGCGTTCTCTTCATGACCCATTATCCCTTGCCTCCCTCGGTGTCTGCCCGTGCATGGATGCAAAGATTGCAAAAAGAAATTAACAAATGGTGCATGTGTTTAGTGAAAAAAGACGGAGAAATGCCAAAGACAAAGACAGAATAGACAGAGAGCAACATAAGGCAAGGGAAATGGACACCGAAAAGGAACAGCTGAAAACCCAAATCGGATCAAAGGA